GCGTGAGGGTGCAAAGCTCGATGTCTGCCTTGTATGTAACGGAAGAATTGTTTGTCTTCAAGTTTTCAGTCACAATTTTCACGCCAGTATGAAAAAATTTAATCGATTTTACGGCGGTATATACACGTATATCTAAGTCAAAGCTATTGTGTGATTGCCGATGAACTCGAAATCATCATCTTAGTCCCAATGCTTGAGGGATAGATACTGAGTGGCGTGGCTTAACGATCCATTCAAGTGCTCGGCTCAATGAGATAGGGTCATCGTAGGCGTAGTTAAAGTCTAGCTGATGAGAATGATAGCTGGTGGACTCAAGAAGTCGATTGAATTCACGTTCCACTTGAAAAACAATAGGGCTGTTCAGGATCTTGTGGAAATGGTCTTGGATTTCCACATTCGTTGCGTTTGTAAATTCACAACAATAAAATGCACACGGTTGCCATGTCAGCAAGCAAAAAATTTCAAAATGCAATTCCAACCGCAAATTCAAAACCATTTCCACAACACCCTGAACAGCCCTAATAATATTTATAAAATAATATAAATACTTATTACGTATTATTTCTGCTCACCATGTCGTCCTTATGCTTGGGCACAGGTTTTCCAAAAGCTCCACATAGCGGGCATGCTAGCCTAACCTGGACTATCTCCCTTTCAATTTGTTTGCTTAGTATAGTCATGCATTGCCCCAAACACCTGTTACTACCATAGCGCCTAAATCACCAATATAATTTCTCTTGCGAAAAGTACAATAACACAATGACATCCATACCGAATTGCTGCAGCTGTTGGGCAGCCGCTAACCCTGAGATGCCTGCTCCAATTACTATAACTTTGCCCAACTTCTTAGTAGGTATGGGACGTAAACGTTTAAAAATGCCAAAGTTAATAAAACCATGTCGATCCAGGAACGAATGTACGCACTTCACCAGGATCGCTATCGAATCGTTGATCCATATCTTTTATAGCGTTTTCTACAATAAGCTGCTGCTTTGGATTCTCGATTCACATTTGCAAAAGGGTAGTAATTGAGATTGTTTTCTCCATTTTACACATCACACTTTCATATTTCTATTGCTTTACGAAGTTTTTATATCTTTTACGCATATTGACAAATTGTTGGCATTGTTTTCAAATTGTCAACCCTTTCTTCCCCATCTTTTTTGTTTACCTTTTTTAGATGCGTATACGAACATTTTTTGCAATTTGCGTTCATGGTGCGCAAGCTCGTTATTGGCGTTACTGTAACCAATGCGCCACAGGGTCAATAATTAGTGTATCAGCGCCAGTAGCGCCACCGTCGGTATCAAAGCAATGAAGCAGCGCCGCGCTGCGTTGCCCATCACTAGTGTATAAATCCCCACAGATAACACACACCAGGTAAGGTGCAGTAGCGACGTGTGTGACCAAATTCCTGGCAGTTGTGACATTGAACAGGGCCTCTACGCTTAAGGGGTTCTTCTACGGAGATTTTACAGTGTGGAAGATATCGCAATTGATATATTTGATGCACTTCACCTTTCCTTAGGTTATGAAAGTCAGGTTCTAGCTCTATTTTGAACATCGGTTGAGGGATGTTTTCTTTATTTTTAACAGGGTTCGTATTTGCACACACATGTGCAGCACATCCTAACATTTTAAGCTCACACACGTGTGCTGTGCATATAAAAAATTAAAAATTTGCTCACATCACATGTGTGTGCCGTTTGGTAAAAAGCACGGGACATGTGTGTACTTTCTTTTTATTAATGTAAAGCACACGCACATGTGTGTGCTATGCGCAGAGAAACTTATACACTTCGAATTCTAACTCAAATCTTAAAATAATTTTTTAATATGTTTTCTGTCATATAAAAAACAAACAACATCTCACTTTTTATTGAATTGTCTTTCAAAAAATAACGTTTAATAAACAAATTCTTTTAAGAATATATTATGTGCATGTGCATGGGCTGAAATTTGTACAAAAATCGGCTCACACACATGTGCATGTGCTTAATAACAAACAGCACACACTTTTCTGTGAGTAGAGTTTGTTTTCCACTTATGCACACACATGTGTATGAGCAGTGAGTGCAAGTTGAATGTGTTTCTGGCGTGTGTGTGAGCAGAGCATGTGTGTGCAAATACGAACCCTGATTTTTAATGTTGATTATTATTATTATTAAAAACATTGCGCACCTTAAAACTTTCTTCCCTAAGAGCATTTTCTATCTCTTGTGAGTTCACACTGGACTCGATGCCTTTTATGACAACTGCGCTAGAACGACTACTTTTAAGTTAATAAGTGTAATACGATTTCTTACACTTATCAAACTCATTGATAATTTTACGAAAAGTATCTTCGTTTTGAGCCTGAGTTTTCACTTCGTGTATATTACCTTTTTAAATAGGAACCAGATAAAAATTATTTTCCCTACTAGTTTTAGGAGAGTACCTACCAGAGCATTGGAACTTTCTTCTCGTAGATAAATAGGTGCAGACTTGTGTTTTTTAACTACTTGTTGATTAGAATAATTATTCATATCAGCGAGAACACTAAAACGATTACTCTCCGCCGATGTACATAGATTTACCTGAAGTGACTACTTTCATAATTTTATTTTTTGGAGTTTGTTTTCCATATTTTCGGGTGTGCGCTTTCGCTTTATTAATATGTAGCGATCTAATCCAGTCTGAACAGTAGAATTTTTTGCTTTATTTTATTCTTATTTGTTTGTTGCTGTCTAAGTATTACAGGCTAACCTAATATTCGCGGCTTGCGTTTTGGTACGCACGCTTTCGAATTGTTTTTTTTTGCGTCAACCGAAATTGGCTTGCGTGCGTTTGCATTTGATTTCATTGAGCGAAACGTCAAATCAAAATGTCACACAGAACAAAAGTTGGAAATTGAGTTAGCTTCATACGTACGCCGTTCAATTTCGGTTGGTCCCATACAAGTTGTATGTCCATGAGAAAATTTTGACAGTAAACTGCCGGCGTGCGTGAATATTAGCAGGAAACAGCGTAAAAGGGCCAATTGGTTGAGAAAGGGCGCGCTAATAGCCTGGTAAGTAGCATCTGCGGCAATACATTACTTTTTATTAACTTCTAATGCGTACCTATTTCATGAAATACAATGCAAACTGTGTCAACATAAGACTAAATTGCAAAGGCATAAACCAAGCAATTTTACCTGAAATTGTGACGCCTGCAATCAGCATCAAATAAGGATATCGTTCCAACGAAACCCAATACTAACGCACAAAAAGGAGCAGCTGCAACAGCGAAACCACAATCAAATAATAAAGGTGCCAACAAAGCAGATTCTACAAAAAAGCAAGCAAAGTCCACTGCCAAACTAAGTCAGCCACTAAAACAGGCATGCCCAGCGCAGGGCACTTGCTTATGGCGTTCTACCAGCGTTGGGCATGACTGCGAAAGCACAATCAAGGATACAACAGCAAAATTAATTGTTAATGCAACCACGCACACCCGGCTCCGATTATCAGGGTCCAGCCATTAAGGTAAAGTGTAAAATACATTTACTTCTATGAAGCAACTAAAACAGAGTAGGGGTACGGCTTAGTTATTTGCACAACAATTTTGGGTTGCTGTGCGCAAACACACACTTGTAGACAAGAGTCTACGCTTTATTTAAAAACAAAAATTCATCTGTGCACTAATTTTTTAATAATTTTGGTTTCAAATATGGTATTTTTGGCAAATTTGCCAGCAGGCTATTCATAAAGCGCGGTTCATCCTCTTTCGTTTAGGGGGGTTTGGGGAGCCACGCCCCTCCCCCTCCGCCCCTCTTACCCTAAAATCGTTGTACAAATACCTAAACATTTCCCCAGCATAGAATTACAACTATTTAATTGTATTAAATTGAAATGTTTATGACAAGTTGAATTATCGTAGTTTTAGCAGTCCATATATAATAGATTCCATTTCTATTTATTTACCTGTGAATTGCAAGGATTAATATATAATATTCCAAGGTTTTAAACAATAAAACAAAGTTTTCTTAGTCAATATTTTTGTATTTTTGCGTTTTCTTTTGTGTGCTGTTTCAATAATTTCTGGGTTGAGTTTTCATATTTTAGCAAGCACTCGTGTTCTTAAAAATATTTTTTTAATTTTTATGACACATTCAATATCAGACACTTGTTCTATGAGTTCTTTTATAAAATCATTCCTAATGAGTAGTGTTTCTCTATTAATAATAATAATAATAATAATAATAATAATAATAATAATAATAATAATACACACTATGTTAGTGTTTGGCCGAGCTTCTCCTCCGATTTGTGGCGTGCGCCTTGATGTTGTCACACAGAGCGGAGGGACCTACAGTTTTACGCCGACTCCGAACGGCGATCGTATTTTTATGAGAAGCTGTTTTTCATGGCAGAAATACACTCGCAGGTTTGCCATTGCCTGCCGAGGGACGACCGCTGTTAAGAAAAAACCTTTTTTCTACATTTTTTGCGATGCTGCTTTGACCAGGGTTTGAACCCAGGCGTTGCGGAGTGGAAACTCGCACTGCTTACCACTACACCACAGCGGCCGACACCATTAACTGCTACAAATATTGACTAAAGTTGGGCGCTTGGAAGTGATAAACCACCATCACTTAAGAGGTTCACCCATGAGAGTGATGGGTCGTCGCTAGTTTCGAAGGACGAGGTAGGAAATTCATCACGTAGTCTGTAACATATATATCCGGCTACATTTTCTAGACCGTCATATTCTGGATCAGTAAACTCCCTCAGTTCAATTTCTTCCAATGGAAGTATCATGGGTCGCAATATCGTACCTGTATAAAAAGTTTCGTACCTGTGTAAGTATGTTCATTATACTAGTTACAATACAAAAAATTTCAAATACCTGTAAGAGTAGGCTGAGATGGTTCTGGTATCATCAACCTCGACATTCCCTCCCGTAGAAATTGCGCCCTCATTGCACGCAAGAATGTATGTTCTGAGCCGATATTTAAATTCCTGTTGGTCGGGGTGGTCGTGCAAACCACCTTTAGCGCGTATAACTCCAAATAAATTTTCAAGTACATCCTGGTTTAAATGACACGTACCCAATCGTCGCTTAAGGCTGGAAAGCAACATTTTTACGGCTTAATTTGACTGTATAATTCCTAAAATTAATCACAAGCATATGTATATATAGATTATTTAAAATATGAGTCATAATTAAAACTGTGATATACCATTATACTGGTAATAGTCCATTTTTTCCAACGACTCTCATATTCCCCACCGGTTCTGACATTTCGTCCAATATTTGGTTTTGAACATCGATTGCAAGGCCATACCCGTGACGCCGCACCTTAGAATCAGCATGAGGTACCCTGACCACGTCGAACCAATCATTCGTCTAAAAAGTATAAGTGATTATTACACAGATATATGATTGCTCATACTACGTGTATAGCTTATACATTTTTAAACAATTGGAAGCACTCTTGCCAATTGTGTCCACTCAAGTGCCCCAAGCTTCCAGCTCTTGTGATTGCTTGCGCTAGCTATGTGGCCGTTTTGACTTTCTGCCTATGAGGTCCAGATACGTTGAGATGGCTAGCGGTGATCTTATGTGTGATGCTTAGGTCTATAGAGGTGCATGACATCAGCTCTAATATTATGTCCTTTTTACTATTTTTCCATCAACGACATATCCGTGGTCAAGGAATTGGTTTCTTAATTATTTAATTAAATGCGGAACGTCCGCGAACACAAAAATTTATTCGTCTTCGAAGGTAAAGCTGCAAAATATCTTGGTTTGATGTGTGTAAATAAAGAAACGAAACATTTTACCAACCACCCAACTCGTTGAACAAAGCTCTATTGAGCTCTATTATTATTATTATTATTATTATTATTATTAACACTTAACTCCTTACGACTA